CCCCAAAACCCCAAAACCCCAAAACCCCGCATGGTTTCAGCAATGTTGATATAAATATTTATAATGGAACCTGATCACATTAAGATGAATCTACCTAATAATTCAGAGTTTGCAAGCATCACAGAACACATTGAGAAGTGTGCAGACTTAAAGTCTGTGATACAAGTTCTATTAGACTTCAGTGAGAAGTGTTTGACTGAAACCTTGTTCTTGATGGTTTTTTGTGTACAAGTAGGAAACTATCAATAAGAATGGCTGAGAAAGCTCACAGTTTGCAGACAAATGCAGAGTTAGTCAAAGCTGATAAGATTTCTGAGTTTTGTGATCAAATCCAACAACACTTTGACCACTGAAAATACATTGAAATGGTCCAAACTTACAGACACTTTTTGGTACATTGAGCTGAATTCAAAGCCTACTTGAAACACCAGCTACAGAAGCATACCCAGTGGACTAGAATTACTTGCTCAGAATGTCCAGTGCCTGTTCCATCTGGCTGGAAACTCAAACAGACTTCAGACATCAACTTCGAACTCACACCCACAACCGATTGGCTTGAGTTGGCTGAAGAAGCAGAACACCTCGGAAAGAAGTATGTCCAGTCTGACAATTCTCAGTACAAAGTTGTGTATGAGAACTACCAGAGTCAAGACCACAAGTCGGTTTCGTGTGTCTCAGCTAAAGGCTCCAGCAACTCATGAGACTCACCTAACAATTCTGGTGAGAAATCAGAATATTTCTCTTTGGTTTCAGATAAAGGTGAGAAACCTGTAAGTAAGCAGAGAGTCATTGGGAAAGGTCCCAAAATCGCTTACAAGAAACTGAATAAATAGAAGTTACTCTTCAAATGTCAGAGTCAGAGGCAACACAGACGAAGTCAGGAAACAAAAAGATCAAGGTACTCATTATAATGCATAACATTGACCCTATAGAGTTTGATGCTCCGATGCACATGAGGAACCAGTCATTTCGCGGACTCACTGTCAAAGAAATGTCAATTGTTCAGATGCACACAAAGCCTCAGCTCCAGCTAAAGTCAAAGCAAAGACAACTGAAGTCAATATCTAGAAAGAACCTTGAGATCAAGCCTACCAAGCTCAAATATTGTCCTTCTGGCCTTGTCGATGTGCGTCAGAAAAAGACTGTTGAAGTTAAAGCCAACTCGTTCTTAGGCAAAAGAATCAGTGAGAGTCTGAACAGAAGCCGCATTAAGAAGATAGCGACTCTTCGTGCTGCTGAAAGCATCAAGTCTTTATCAGTCAGAAGTATGTTTGGAGCTGACTTTTAGAACATCATCTACCCAAAGTAAGGTCAAAACAAATCGAAGCAAACATAAACTGTAAGTCTGAGCATCACCTGTAGCATGATCTCAAGATAAACGAAAGCAAGACTTTTTCGTGTAGGTTCAGCCTTATGTTTAGGAATTCTCACAACTTCATTCCGGTCACTCACAGTCTTCTCAAAGAAAGTATCGGTCAAGTCCAACCGAGTTCACAAGGGATGGGTGATCGAGCCAATATCTGAGTTATTCGCAACAAAAACAAGGCTGAAGAGCAGAAATTTTTGAGGGATTTGTCAGCCTCTGACAAGAATGAAAGGAACTCAGATTCGGTGACTCCTGTAAAGCCCAACAACTGAAGCATTCGCTCGAGTTCGTGGCAGCAAAGCCCAAGCAAGAGGAATAGCAAACACAAGAAGTCTGAGGAATCAAAGAGGCCTCAGCAGCTAAGCATGAACAGAAACTCAGAGGAAGCCCAATCAAAGTAGGTATCTGTTCGAAGTTGATCATCATCATTAGATTAGTATGAATGCTATAGTACTGTACCTATTCTAAATAATTGTGTTGATTTTGAGTGCTGATAATCAAATTTGATAGTACCACCTTTGATCAACAATTCCTAATGCATTAATATCTCTTCTGTTTTAATATTACACTAAATCAAGCCTACACTTCATCACTGATGTTATTGGCTGTATCCTCTGTATAACCTTTATCTTCAGCAACCCTGGTGTTGATCAGACCCAATTCCAGAACCAACTTCAGGACAACCAACAGTACTGAATCCAAGTCTACAACGTAGTCAACACAACCAAGAACAAGATCATTCACATCGGCCAGACCCCAGATGTCCAGGTATGGTAACTCTAACGCTTAGCACTTCGGGGGAGCAGAGATTTCTCGAATCAGGCTGTCAAAGCAAAGCAAGGGCTTCTCTTCACACAGAGACTCTCAAAAAGCAGAATTGCAGTGTTGAGAGAAAGCCAGATGCAACTCATCATGTGTGATATTTTAGACTTGCCAATAACTCAATATCCACTCTATCTCGAGGGGTTTTGGGGTTTTGGGGTTTTGGGG